GCATACATTTTTATAAACTGAAGATTCCTCCTCTCCGTGTTGATTGTTAGAGACCACATTTGGCTGTGTATAGCAGCATGGAAGGGCTAAGGACACAGACCTTTTAAAAAATGACTGCACCTCAATGCTGGGCGTGGTGGGGCTCACCTGTAATCTCAGCACTTGGGAGGCTGAGGCAGGAGGATTGCCTCAAGTTTGAGGCCAGCTTGGACTATAGAGTGAGTTCAACAGCATAGCCAGACCCTGTCTCACAAAACAAAACATAACAATTCACCTTGAAACCATAATCTCAAGTGAAATACATCAGAAAACAAGTTTAAATATAGCATTGTTTTTCTTGTGTCAGAAACTCAAAGAATAAAGAAGCAGAATGTAGGACAGATGCAAGAAAGTAGGGAGAACTTGTTCAAACGGTAGAGGCGAACAAGAGATGGGAGTAAGGGGGTGGGAAGGAAGGGAAAGGCGATTTAAAGAAAAGACAAGAATTGAAGGAAAAATGACGGACATGGAGATTTTGTAAATGGGGAGGGGAAGAAGGGTTGGAGGGAAGGGAGCAAAAAGGTCAGAAAAAAAAGAATAAAGATGAGAGTTACGTGCACGAACAAATTCCCTAAGATGAATTATTTGTACAAACATGTACTAATAAAAAATTAATTTAAAAACGGACCCAGGACTAAACTAAGTAGACATCTACCAAAGTCACATTTAATATAAAAAATGTGAAGGAAAGTTTTCAGGAGGAAAAGAGAGAGAGATTAGCATGTTTGATGATTTAGAATGAGAGCCACGAGGTGGCGCAGTTTGGAGCTGGCTTGACCTCGGCTTCTGCCGTCTGAAAAACAAAGTGGGCCCAGAGGAGACTGGATCCGAGGAAAGCTGAGAAGCAGGACAGGACAGGGGTGGGGCAGGTCCCCACGGAATTTGAAATGAGCCTGTTGGTGGAGAGACAGGGAAGGTTGCTACTTGGTGTGAACCACTTAGTGAGAAAAAATAAAAAGAGCTGAGCTGAACATTGAACTACTGGGAAGAAAACAAAAACCAGAGTGGACAGTCTCCAGTGCTGGAGAAACTTTTAGAGCTTTCACTGATACGGAGAGCCTGCTGTGGCACGTGTGTCGTAGGTTCTTCACCACTGTTGGTCTCATCTTCTTAGAGCTGGACCTGTTAGGAGAGTGAATCTCTGCATCAGGACTCTCCTGTGTCACCATCTACATCACCTGACAGCATGAAAATCTAGAATTTGGACCAGCTACATAATGAGTCTTCATACATTTGTAGAAGCTCATTTAAATAAAAAAAGGGGGAAACAGAAGGAGTGACACATGACTCCCTCTGAATTCTGATGAATTAATATGAAATAAATTTTTTTAGAGAAAAAATGCACCTTTTTTATTTTCCACAAAAAGTTGCTAATCTGTTGCATTCTGGTATCAGAAACATGACAGAGGAGCACCCCCCTCAGCTTCCCAAGGCATCACACAGGGACAAGAACGCTGGCTTGCTCACTCAAGCATGGACACATCTAGACACTGATGTAAATGGCTCCACAGGAACCAGAAACAATAAAACACATGTCACTTGCCACAAGCAGGCAGCAGGCCACACTCACAGCTACCAGCCACTGTAGATGAAGGACTTTCCTCGGAGGTCCTAACACCTCCTTCTAGGTCGGGCCAAGCCAATGCCCACAGGGGTCAAGTGCAGGGCTGCTGGATCACCACAGCAAGCCACAGAGCGTCTCTTCACGACTCTTTCATGTCCTTGAGAAGCAGAACCTGGGTTTTTTTCCCTACAAAAGGCAACTTGGCTGTCCCCAGAGAGGGAACTCTCAGAGGTGTTGCAGGTTGGGTGTGGGTTGTTGTGGTCCTCACTTTCAAGCTTTCAGAGTGTTCCCTTTAGTACTTTCTTTAAACATGGAGGTATGCTTGCTTTTCTAAGAGATGATTATAGCCTTCCAGACTCCACCAAGGAATAAATACTCATAGAAAACAACTGTGGGGTCTAGGGGGGCAGGAAGAAGTACACAAAGGGGAGGTGCTTTTGTTCCCAGTGCCACCTTTCTGGCAGTGCAGGTACCTTCTGGTACAGGGAGCCATGCCCCATGTAGGTAGAAGAGTCTCTGTCCCAAGAAGGAGCCTATGTGGCCTCTTGTTTCTCCTGCAGCAGTGGAATGATCAACTCCCACACCATGAGGCAGGTCTCATAATACTGGACATTCTCGTCAGCCAAGCCCATGAGCAGCTGCCAGAGTCCTGCCCCTTATTGTTCTGCCACCTCTCCATATCAGGCTTCATATAGGCATTGAAATACTCCATGCGATCTTGACATCTCTCCGTGTCTGCTGCCACTTTGGGGAGGTCTTTCTTCCTCAGAGCCATAGCTTCCAGTTTGGCTTCATAATCTGCTTGAACTTGATCTCTTTTTTTCCGTACACTCTTCATGGAGTCAGAGTACAAAATATATTCCCTGAAAAAAGGAAAAAATATGAGAAAAGGAAAAAACGGAAATAAAGTCTCTGTAAATAGGGAGGGGTGGAGGCATCCAAGGGAGGGCAGGGGAATGGGGAAAAAATAAGAACCAAGATACAAGTAAAGGTACAAGTTCCTGATGATGAATGTAACTGTATTGTATGCGTAAAATGTACCAGTAAACTTAATGAAAAAAATATATTCCCTGGAGCACAGGTAGAAAGTCTCCTGCCATGTCATCTGTCAGTTCTTGCAAGGCTGTAGAGCAGTTTCCGATGCAGGATGACACACCCTCAGGCCCTCAGCCAGCTTACCTTCTAATGTGCTCCCCATGGACTACACAGGCCCATAGTCTCTCAGCTCTACAAGGTACTCTATTTCTTTGATGATCCACTGGGCTGTCCGAACAAGGGTTCCCAGCTTAAGTGCAGAAGTAACTAAGTATTCACCTATGGCTGCAAACTCATGAACTCCTCAGCTTATAGCCTCCAGGGATATGTTTAACCAACTTACCCACTCTGGTCAGCAATGCTATTCCCTGATTCCTGCAGGCATTTAGGTCCTTAGCAGTAAGAAAAACATTAAAATGTTCATTGAAAGAGAGAACAAGATGATCTGCAATTATTTTCAGAAATTTATCCAAAGCTTTTCTTCTGGTCTCCACAAATTGTTTTTGCTATGTTTTTTTGAGACAGTCTTGCTATGTAGTTCAGGCCGGTCTTGAACTCACTATGTAGCCTATGCTGGCTGAGAACTTGAAGCAGTCCTCCTGCCTCAGCCTCCCGAGTGCTGGGATTGCAGGCATGCACAACCATACCTGGCTCCATAAACTCATCAGGGAAGGGATCTACTATTCCTTTAACCACAGACTTCTCAGGAACTGGGCAAACAAGATGGGCTTCACTTCTTCCAGTTTGCTCCTCAACCAGTCAAAATCGTGGTATCTTCGATGAACAGAATATTCTGGCATGTCAAACTCTCCCTGAGTATTTTTTGATAGTGATCCTATATGTGATGTAGGTCTCCATTGTACAGACATGCTTCTTGGGGGCTTGCACCGTGACAGAGATCTCTGGCCTCACCAACACTGTCATCATCAAATGGAAGTCTATTCGAAAGGGAAGATGAGGAGGGTGGCCTCGAAATCCTTGTGGATGCCAACATTGGGCAAAATGAGAGCCTTGTCACCGAAGCGGCCACCAGCAGGTCTGGGCTGGGTGTGCTGTCACCTCCCATGGCCTTCTGGCTGCTGGAGCAGCATTTGATCAGGGAGTAGGGACCCAGGAAGGCAGGACCTTGGGGGAATCCTCCCATCATGGTGGGCTCAGCTGCTTGTTCTCACTGCCTGCATCCTTCGGGGCATCCAGGGCCTCAGCTAGGCCCTAGGCCCTAGGCCCAGCATAGGTCTGGTGGGTGCCTCCCTCGTGGCTGCTGCCATTCCCAGTTCTACCGTGGAGGTCCGTGCCTCAGGTCCTTCTGCACCTTGGCCACCCACCAATGTGACATAATTTTTAAGCATGGATTGAGTTTTCTGTACTTGGAAGGCAAAAAAGAAAATCCTCCCACACATTGTTATCCTCTCCCTGCCTTTGGGAAGGTACACAGGCCCAGAGCTATGAAGAAAACTCCAGGCCTGCGGCTTCCTCAACTGGAAAGTGGAGATTTGCTCTCATGGGACTTTTTCCAAGGTGTGATGGCTGGTGTGATGGCTAAACCTGTAATCCAGCACTCTAGGAGGCTGGGGAGGAAGACGTGTTTGAGCTCAGACTTGGCAACATGGTGGCTTCCAGAGAATCTCTCCCAGTAAAAAATGAAAAAGGGCTGGATATGCAGCTTAGTTCGAAGATCCTGGGTTTAGAAAGAAGAAAACAATGAATTAGACAAAGTGATATTCACAAAACATTAGTCTTCTGTGTTTTCACGTCCTTAATATCAGTCTGGGGTCTCTGCCGCCTCTAACCTCAGTACTCCTTGACCAAACGTAAGTTGAGTGGAGTGGTTATGTGAGTCAGGTGGGGTGCCTTCCTCACTTTGCCTGGAATAAACTGGGTTAAGGGCCACAAGCACGGGGATTGGGGTCAGGGATCAGCTTGGGGTCAGGGACCAGGCTCAGCCTAAATGACTGCTCCCAGTGTCCTTAAGATTGAGAAAGTACAAAACATGATGTTGGGCTGGAGATTTAGCTCAGTGGTTCCGCTGCCTGCTTCGCAAGAGCAAGGACCCGATTTCGATCCCCGGTACCAACAAAACAAAACAAACCCCCCAAAACCCCATATGATGTAATGTTTGAGGTCAGCCTGGGCTGCAAAGCAAAACAAAACAAAACAAAAATCCCTCCGCCAATTACCAGAGGAATGTCAGCCATCGCATTGTCGATGAGTGAAAGGTAGTATGGGAAAAATTCAGTTCGGTAAAGCAGAAGGTGGGGCGGTGTTTAGGGTGGAGCTTGCCTGGGCGGGGCTATCCAAATGTAAGGGCACCAAAGGCTCCGGGTTTTATTTAAAAACCACTGCGCCGGAGAGCCTACTGCCACTTAGGGAGACTGCAGACCACAGCACCGCCCACAACGACCCTGCATCAGGGTAGCACCAGGGATCAAGGTCCCCTCTAGCACGCCTAAAGGCAGTGGGTTGAGGTAGCGGTACAGAGATCCTGACCCGCCCAGCATCTGGGCAGCCTGTGAGCAGCCAGCAAGAAAGAAGGCCGCGGCAGTGCCTAAAAGACCTCATACTGGAAATTTTCATGGAGGCCAAAGGTGAATTTTTGTTGGGGAATTGAAGCATGTTGCGTTTGCGGAAGGCTTATACCTGACGTGCTAGTGTGTTTGTTTTGTTTTGTTTTTCGGTTTTCTTGGTTTTTTGAGACAGAATTTTTTTTTTTTTTTTTTTTTTTTGGGGGGGGGAACCGGGGATCGAACTCGGGACCTTGCGCTTGCGAGGCAGGCGCCGGAACCACTGAGCTAAATCCCCGGCCCTTTGAGACAGAATTTTGCCGTACAGTCCAGGTTGGCCTTGAGCTTACTACGTAGCCCAGGCTGGCCTCGAACTTGGTTCGATCCTCTTGCCTCAGCCTCCCAAGTGCTGAGATTACAGGCGTGCACCACCACACCCAGGCATTTCGTTTGTTTTTTCAGGAGTTTATATGATTAATTAACTTTGGCTTGGAGTTTTGCCATTACATCATTGACCATTTCAAGTTCTTTCTTCATTGTTATAATCTTGTCTTCCTTACACATAGCACTTTCTTTAACCTCAAGCAGGGAAATTTCCGGTTTTTGAATTTTCAGTGGTCAGCTGTGCAGCCCTTGGGGTAACACGAGGACCCCTGCTGTCTCGCGGCAGGATTACGTGGGCGCCAGAAATCTTTCAATTTTCTGGAAGTCTTAAATAATGTCCTTTAATTTAGTTAACTCATTTATTTAATTTTTTTATTTTTATTTTTTGTACCAGGGATCGAACTTGTGTCCTTGCGCTTTCGAGGCAGGCGGCAAATTCATTTATTTTTAAGTGGGTCTTACTGAGTTTCCCTGGCTGTTCTCCTGCAGAGCAAGGAATCCTCCTGCCTCAGAATCGCGGGTGTTAGAAGTGCAGGCCTGTGCTACCACACCTGCCTTAATAATCCCACTTCAAAAAAAAAATCTTATTTTATCTTTATTGTCTTAAAATAGGCTTTTACTTTATTAGTAATTCCATTATTAGTAGGTATGAGGCAACAGGCTCTAGGCCTTAATTTATGAATTGTCACTCCAGAAATGATTTTCTAAAACTACTACCGGAGTTTCCTACTGTTTTCCTTTGTGTTTCCACATTTTCCAGGATCTTCAGCCAAAAAAGATGATCTTAATGAAACACAAGAAAGACAACATGGAAGACGGAAAGCAAGACCTCCACACCGATTTACAAAGGATGAATTACAGATTCTGAAACAAGCATTTGAAGAGAATCCTTACCCTACTTTCACGACCAAGCAAGAACTTGCCAAGCAACTGCACTGCCATTTGTATGTCATTCAGGTAAGTCCAATATTCAAGGTTGGGCATGGATATATATTTTTGTAGATAATATGAAAAATGGAAGGAATTATGAAAATGTTTTGTGGAATGGTATTTCATGTAACAGTTTTAAGAGCCATTTTTATACAATTCAATATAGGCATGTATACCTTACATATGCATTTTATGAAAAAAAGACTTGTGTAAGACAAGCTCAGGAGCATGGATAAGTTAAGTTTCACTCTGGATCCTGATCTCTGTGTGCATACTCTTTTTGTGAAGTGCAAGAGCCAATGTTTAAAGGTGTCACATTCATTTTGAATATGACAATTTTATATTAGGCAATGATGAATGTGTATCAATGAGCCTTCTAGCTATTATACTGTTGTAATTTTGAATGTGGAGACAGGACCTAAAGAAATAATCAAACATCAAAATGCTCCCAGACAGTCCTGCCTGAGATCAAGCCGAAAGGCCCCAACACCAAGTTTGTAAGGATGAGTAGTCTACAACAGCATTTTATCATTTAATCACTTCCCACAGAAATTTTGGGGGCTATGATTTTCGTGTAAGATTATCATCATTTTGTGGAGTAGAAAAAAACAGATGACTAGAATTGTTCTATAAGATGTTTAGGGTAATGTAAAACATTCTGCTTGGTTATGAGAAACTCTTGCTTCTGTGCATGAACTTTGAATACAATGAATTTTAGAATAAAATTGAGGATACATTAATTGTGAAGGTATCATGGTAAGACAGCTTAAGTAAAAAATAGAAGGTGTAGAAATATCTTCCAGGGAGTCTATTCTGTCTAAATGCTGAAAATTATAAATAGGTTGCAGAGTGGTCAGGGGAAGATTTTGGAAACCTCAATTTGCACATCAAGAATGGTCACTGGAAACTGTGGATATAGTTGGGAGTTTGGAATTGTACACATTTTAAAAGTTCCATAGTAATACCTGCAGCCAAAGGCAAGGTGGACTTCATTTGTCATGTCTTCTCATGGTCAGGAAGCAAGTTATTAATAATTCCGAGGTTAGGCTGACCTAGATAATATTCCTTCATTTTAGAAATGTTTTTAGATATTACTAGAAAACTAAATTTGATTAGTGTATTTTTCTCTTTTCCTTTAGAATTGGTTCCAAGATAGAAGATACAGACTACCACCTAGAGAGAAAAAGAGACTCTTTGCCATCTGGAAACTAAATGGATTTTGTGTCAAAAGGTCTCAGCCCCTGGGGTCTGCAAATAGCCAGGTACAATCTGACAATTCTTCCATGAATCAGACTTCCTTGCATGACCAGGAGACCCTACCATATAGAGCTGGCTACTCTTCACTGGAAACCCAGATGATTCCCAGTGGTCATGTTGGCTCAGGTGACTCTTTGGTCACAGGCATTAACAGGGAGCCAAGATATCCCCTGGAGTATCAAGGTGCCCCAGCAAGTGGCCCTTCTTGCGCCTACACACCATACTCTTTTATTTATCCTTACCCATCTATGCAGTGTTTTGAAAGTGCCAGGTATGAGGCAAGGCAAAGCCAGAATGCTCTGCCTTTTTTTCCCCATTATGCTTTCACTGGGCAGGAAACAGGTCATCAACAAGAGAAGTACAAGGCCCCGGATCAGTATTCGGTATTTCAAGGACAGCAGCCAAACAACTGGGGATACCATATGCAGCAGCTGTCACAGCCTCAGTATTACCAAGAGAATTACCAGTTGCCATTCCAGGGCCAATTTTTCCCATACCAGAATCCAAGTGTGTTAGAGCAACAGGAGCCCAATCTTCCATCAGAGCAGCAAAGTAACGGAGGTGCCCTGAGCTCTCTGCTACAGCAGGCACCTGTGCAAAGAGCAGACAGGCCTCCACAACTTCTTGGGCAAGGGAAGCAGCAAGTTCATGCAGAGCATTCCGGGTTTGAAATCCAGCACTTTCAGAATGGGGTTTTTCCAGATGTCCACTTCTGAGCCCCTAAGTGTGGCTCCAGGAGATGGAAGTCCTGAGAAACAGTTGTAGATAACCCTGTCTCCACACAGGGAAAGGAAGAGAAAGGTCTTCTCCTTTGGAGACACTCTCATTGTTCTTTACATGAACCCTTCCAGGCTGACTAATACACAGAGCCTGTAAATGTGTATGAAACAGTACTGAGTCTTAAGTCACTGAATTGCGTATGTATGCCATTACCACGATGGTAAACAATGGCACTTTTACTTCTAACAGTTGCATTTATTTTTATTTATTGTATGGGTTAGAACGGCCATAGGATATGGAATCAAAACAGTGAGAGGACACTGCAGAGCCTGCATTTCCTCATGTCAAGTTCCTCTTAGCTTGTGTATTATCCATATCTGCCAAAGGAGCCCTTTGGTTTCTCTTTCAAGTTTTTAGTGCCCTCCATTTGTATAATGGGTTTTAAAATGCCTTCTAACTTGTACTGCAAGAATTGCGAGTTTTGCTCTTTAATGTTTTTGTAGTAATTTAAATAGATTTTTCTTACAATAAATAAATACTTTTTGGAAGTAGGTATTGCACTCTAGGGAATTCTACCTATGTCATATTAACAGGGCCTTTTCAAAATGAACCATTTGTGTCTGAATAATCTTCTCAGGCTGCCTGTGAACTTATCCTTTTCCCTCAGTTGCCGGAGTAGCTGGACCTACAGCCATGCGCCTCCATGCCAGCCTAATGAACATTCTGTTCTGCCATAACTCAACTAATGTACTTTTGTATTGCTGGATTACTTTTCCTAATATTTTGTTTCAAAGTTTTCTGTTATGTTCATAAATATGTGGCACTTATTTTTTTTCTACTGAGATTATCTTAAGGTTTTGGTTAGTCTTAACTTGAGTTTTGTGCTTTTCTATGTTCTTGAATTCTTTTACAAAATGGTATTTCTTCATTAAATTTTTAAAATTTTCAGTGACTGTGTTTGACATTTTCTTTATGGAAAGATTTCTGTACATTCCCTGTATTGAAAAATTGTAAGACAACTGTGTCTTAAGTCCACTTTGGAAGTTAGATTTTTCCCAGAAAATGTGCATTACACCAAAGTATTCAAGTGTCCTGCCATAAACTCATTCCAGATATCCCTATACCGCTCATTCTTAGAGTCCCGTCACTGCCTATTATTACGTTGTATTTGTACCTTCCATGTTTCCAAATGTTACATTGCTGAAGTTTCCTCCCAGCACCAACATTGGGGTACTGCTAGGGTGTGGTCCCACTGGGCCATTCTGAGGCTCCTGAAGTTCTGTAGCCATGGAGCCACTCTTTACTCACTGCTCTAGGACTCAACCTACCTCAAGAAATGTTCTCAGTGAAGCTGAAGGAGGAGAGGTGGTGACCAGTGCAAGACCAGGGATGGAGTGCGGGTGATTCGCAGTTTCTTTTGCAAATACATCAGTACCACCTGGAAAGACCCTGGGACTTTAGAGAAGTTCCTTATAACTTCCTGTACTTGAGCCTTGGGATGTTCAGGAGGTCTCAGTTCTTTTTTTTTTTTTTTTATAAAATTCTTTTATTGGTACATTGTAGGTATACAACACAATTACATTTCTCATTGGGAATTGTACCTTTACATGATGCATCTTGGTTCTTATTTTTTCCCCATCCTAGCCCTCCCTTCACCCCCTCCACCCTTCCCTATTTACAAAGACTTT